CTCGCTGCGGCGTGTCACGTTCCCCGCCATCTCCCTCGGTGTTCTCTCCCTTGAAGTCTCTGCGGCGTGCCGTCGTCAGCAGCTCTCTCAGCGCGCGCTTCCTCTTCCTCCTCGAGGATCTCCACGGGCTCCGTTTTCAACGGAGGAGCCCATCCCGCTACCCCTTCACCGGCTCCAAGTCCCTCGCTGGACCATCCTTGAGCACTCATCCTTTTCCCACTTCTCTCTCCTTCTTCCTTGGCACTCCGTTGCCAAGGCTTCTTCTTACGCTTGTACTCCTACGAAATTCGGCTGGAAGATACCCTGCTTCTCCACCAAATTGTCGCGGTCTTCCTCTAATCGGGGTCGTGAGTATCTTGGGCCGACGTAGGAGGTAGTAGTATTAGCGACACTACTGGGATAGTAATGTAAATGTTGATATATTCTTGTGTTGCTTGTTAGAAGGAAATCCACGACTGACTTCCTCAATTCACCTCGCTAAGAGTTTTTAGAGCTTCTTACCTTTTAGCAGATCCCTTGTGCGTGGCGGTCCAGCTCCAATTCCCGCCACGACCAGCTGCTTCACGACTTCACACTTGGAACGTCACTGTCTTGGCCGCAGGTCCCGCTTGCTTGGACGTGGTCCGGAGCGTCTGGAGTGAGTAGACCTTCTGCAGGCAGTCGCAGGTCCCGCTTGCTTGGACGTGGTCCGGAGAGTCTGGAGTGAGTAGACCTTCTGCAGGCAGTCAGCCAGCATCGTTAATCCACCGTCTAACTGTACACCGTGACACTTTACATTTTAATTCAGCCGCCATGTTGACGGACAACCGATTAGTTTCTCTACGAATTTTTTTGTTGGACACACTGGCAGTGTCTCTGGACTGCAACGACTGGATACCACAATTCGAGAAGTTCTTGACGGTCAGTCTGCCAGACTGTCTGGTCGTCGGAATGATGGAATCCATTTTCTATCATGGAAACTGGACCTGCTTAATTCAACACCACCGACTCGTCAGCATGAAGTTTTGCCAAGTTGCTTGGCATCAGTAGCGGGATATTAGTAATAACCCTTGCACATGCTGAATAAGCTGGCTGCTAGGAGCATCAACTTAAGGCTCTAATGTACTGCATTTACAGTGGTCGACAGCATCGATGGCATTAAAATGCACCAATCGAAAGCCCTAGCTCTACAGATTCTATTTGTATAGGTTTCAGTGCGATCTGTCGAGTACCAGCTGTTTCAAAACACAGCTGCGACGTTCTTTATTTTATTCAAGTCTAAATCA